CGGGAGGAGGCAGCGGAGGCGCGCGCCCGGCGGCCACGGTGCTGGGTAGCTGGAAGCGGCTGCGGGGCCTGGGCCGAACCGAGGCCATGGCTGCCTACCTGGCGCTGGCGGCGCAGTGTCCGGGGCTCGGCGCTGCTCGGTATGACGTTCTGGAGCTGAGCACGGTGAGGGGGAGACGGGAGAAGGGGGCTCTGGAAGCCCAAGCCCCACAGCTCCGCCCCAGAGCCTCAGGCCTTGGGGGCCTCCTCTACCCGCGTCCACACAGCTGCCTCGCCCCCGGCCCCGCCCAGGGACACAACCTCAGCCCCTGCACGCTGCACCTTGCACCCCACCACCAACCCCTGCTTTGAAGAACCCCGGGGGCCCCCCTCCAATGCGAACCTGCTCCTGCCTCCCGCAGGAGCCTGGTGGAGGTGCTCCACAGAAGCTTTGCCTGGGCCTGGGAGCCTCGGCCCTGTCCCTCTCCCGGCCTGGGGACACGGAGCCCATCCACAGCGTCAGCTATGGTCATGTGGCCGCCTGCCAGCTGATGGGCCCTCACACCCTGGCGCTGAGGGTCGGGGACAGCCAGCTTCTCCTGCAGAGCCCGCAGGTAAGTGGGGAGAGAGGTGCGGGAAGGGAAGGGAAGTCTAGGAATCTGGATGGGGTGAGGCGCTGGGACCCATTGGTGTCCAAACACGAGCTCCAGAGCAGGGCCAGAAACAGAGTAATGACTACTGAGGATGAGCCAGGCCTGGTGGTGCACATGCCTGTGACCCTAGTGCTTGGGAGGCTGAGGCAGGAATCACTGTGAATTCAAGACCAGCCTGGACTACATTGGGAGATCTTGTCTCAGAAAAACAAAAACAAAAACAAAACAAAACAAAACAAAAAAACCAGGGACAGGGAGATAGCTCAGTGGAATAAGTGCTTTCCTGGCAAGCGCAAGGGCCTGAGTTCCATCCCCAGTTCCAGAAAAAAAAAAAAAAAAAATCCTGTTGAGAAGGTTGGAGGGGCTCCCATGAGATCAGGAAAGATTTTCAGAGGTGATGTGAAGCTAGCCTCGCGGGAGGAGGTATTGGGAGCAGCCCAGGCACAGGAGATTTCGAGTACTGAGTCCAAGACAGAAGAGCAACTTGACCTGGGGGAGGAGTAGGAAAAAGCCAGAGGGAGCCTAGCATGCACCTGGGATCTCAGGTGGGAGGGAGCCTAGCATGCACCTGGGATCTCAGGTGGGAGGGGGCCTAGCATGCAAGGCTGAGGCTGAGGCAGGAGGATCCCAAGATGAAGGCCCACTTGGGTTATGGCGTGAGACTGCCTTAGAAGCTAGAATGGCTGGCACACTTTGGCCCAGGAGAGAGTGTCGAGGTGGGAGCCTAGAGAGGGAGGCTGCAGCTCTAAGCACGGACAGGGAGGAAAAAGGCCAGGCTGGTGAGCACTGACCTCCGTCCTCCCCAGGTGGAAGAGATCATGCATCTGGTGACTGCCTGCTTGGCCACCCCCTCCCCGGAGAGGCCTCCCTGCCAAGAGCGTCCAGACGCCTCCCCTCCCTGCCTGGACCGGGGCCTGGACAAGCCCCAGGGACAGCCTGGCTGCTTGGGGCAGCTGCAGGACTGAGCTTGCCAAAATGTCACGGCTGCCTGCTGCTTCTGGCCCAGCCAGGGCTGCCCTGGGACCGGAGGAGACATGGACCCTTTGGCCCTGCAGGGACAGGGCACACCCCACAAGCAAGGACCACGACGGGTGTGGGCACTTTTCTAGTTTGTTTCTTAATTTATTTGTAGAACAGGAGGGGGGAAAAAAAGCCTTATTTACACAGACCCTTCTTGTGGGAGTGTTGTGGGAACAACTCCGGCTCCGCCCTTGACACCCACTCTTGGCCTTCAGGTGCAGGGGGCATATGCACCATACCCCACCCTCCTGGGGCTCTGCTCTGCCCCTCTGCAACCACTGCCCTGGGGGTAGGCATGTGGGAAGGGGGTGCGGCTGGGAGCTGTGATTACTCAGCCTCTCCCCATGGATGGCAGAGGGGTGGCCTCCTGGCACCCCTGACTCACCAGGCCCACACTGCCCAGGTCCTACCTGGGAGCCTGGATCTGGCCCCTGTGTGGGTCCATCTCTGCTGTGCCCACGGCTTTGGGGATGGCAGGGAGACGCCGGCAGGAGACCCAGAAACTTCCTGAAGATGGAGTGGAGATGTGCTTAGCCACTCAGGCCTGGTCCAGTTCGGCTCTGATGGTGCCAGAACCAACTCATCAGAACCACTCAAGGCCGAGCCCTGCTTCTGTGGTCGCCACACCCATGGGACCAGTGGAGGGCCCTTGGGTGACTGACACTGGCCAACCTGAACAGGGAGCTGAGGCACAGAGGAGATGCTACCAGAATCCAGAGAAGGGTTCACTCTGGAGGATCAAGTTGGCCCCCGGGGGGGGGTCGCCTGGCTGCTGTAGGTTTTGCAAGACCTGGTACGTGGTGAAAAGCAGAGTTCCTGCCAGCGTGACCACTATCTGTCAGCATCACCCAGATTCAAGGGTAAACCCTTGCTGGGCGAGGTGCACATGCCTGTAATCGCAGCACTCGGGAGGCTGAGGCAGGAGGATTGCTTTGAGTTGGAGCCCAGCCCAGGCTACACAGTGACTTGAAGGCCAGCCTGGTTACACAGCAAGACCCTGTCTCAAATCACCAAGAAACAAAACCAACAAAAATCGAGCCTGACTATTCACCACTGAGCTTTATTACTTTATTAGAACAGAACAAGCTTATCAAGGGCTGGGAACAAAAGCGGGGAGGCAGGCCAGATCCTGGGTTGCACATGGACCTGAAGAGTGGGTGGAAGGCAGAGCTGGGGACCCTGGTTGGGGGCTGTGTCCCCCCGGGGACCTCACTGCTCCTGGGTGCCCCAGGAGATGTAGTCGGGCCGTGTGGCCGCGTGGTACTCATCGATGAGCTCCTGCACCACCTCCCTGGACCGCTCCATCTCGTCAAAGTTGTCCTTGAAGATGTCCTCCTTGCGGAACTGCTCCAGGAAGGCCCCCCGCTTCCGCAGCTTGTCGTACTGCTGGCAGGAGCTTTCAAAGAGCTGGAAGACCCGGGCGTTAGATGAAGCCATGGGGCTGGTAGAGAGGCCGGAGGGAGTCGCGGCAGGCTCACCGAGGAGATGCTGGTGTGGTTGGCCATCATGAGCCCGCTGACCCGGTGGGCAGAAGGCAGGTATGGGGACTTCCTCGACAGCGCCACCTGGATGCTAGCCGGGCCCCAGGGGATGAAGTTGGCCAACTTCCGCTCTCGGATCCTCTGCAGGCTCTTGTGCACCTGGCCGGGCACAGGGACGCTAGTGGCTGCCTGGACTCAGCCTGCAGCCGGGAAGGGGCCCAGGCCAGTGCCTACCTGTGTGGGGTCCACCTCCCCCTGGATGATGTTGAGGATGGCGATGTAGCAGTGGTTGGTCTGGCGGTCCCGGCCCGTGGACACCATCACATTCTTGGGCTGCAGCAGCCGTCGCATGACGTCCAGCACCGTGGTCTTCCTCACACTGGCCACCTGAGGGCGGGGAGGGGTTGCAGAGCCCCGGGTGGCACTCAGGCCACGGCCAGAGGACAAGTGGGATGGTGGAGGCGTGGCCCAGAGACCAGGCTGGGGGTGGCCCTCTGGGCAGCTCCCTGGGTGCCACCTGCCCGGGTCTCTGCTGCTGTGGGACCAGGATCCGAGCCCCTGCCCGCCTGCAGTCCGACGAGCCCCATCTGCCCTGTGCAGGAGCAGCGCCTGGGACAGAGGAGGAACCACCCAGCCATGCGCGCGCGCTCACCGACTGGTCCGTGGTGAGGGGGGTGTAGCCGGTCATGAGGAAGTGCAGCCGTGGAGTGGGGATGAGGGAGGCGATGAGGCCGATGAGGTCGTTGTTCATGTAGCCGGGGTAGCGCAGGGTGGTGGTGCTGGCCGACATGATGGTGGACACCTGGGATGGGGCAGGGTCACGGCCTGGCCTGGAGGGGCGGGAGTGGGGCACCCACCTCCCTGATGTCGCCGGCACAGCAGGCGCCCCAGGACCAGCTCACCAGCTGGTTGATCTGGGAGAAGGATGGGTTCTGGATGTGCAGGCGGTCTGTGGCAATCCGGTTGAGAGCTGTGTTGTCCAGCACAACCTGGGGAGAGAGGAGGCCACAGCCCTTCTTGGAGGACTGCCTCAGTCTTCACGCGACCGACAGCCTAGTGGAAGGGGAGCCACTAAGTACAGACCAGGCTGGGGCAGCTCAGAGACCGCGCATGTGCTTAACAAGTCTGGGCCCTGACTTCAAGCCTCCACCCTGGAACCAGTCAATCAGGAAACTATATTTAGCTGGGTGTCGAGGTGAATGGCTTTCAATCCAGCACTCGGGAGGATGGGGCAGGAGGGTCACCTGTAGCATAAGGCTAACCCAGTCTATTTAGTTCAAGGCCGGCGTGAATTACATTAACAAGACCCTGTCTTTTTTTTTTTTTTCCATTTATATATTTGGTACAGGGTCTCACTATGCAGCTTGGACTTGTGTGATCCTCCTGTTTCAGCCTCCCCAGTGCTGAGATTACAGGCAGGTGCCACCACACCCAGTTTGGGTGGCCAGCATGTTGTGCTCCAGGTTCTGAGTCCCCAGCAGGTGGTACTGGGGATCAAAGCCAGGTCTTTGCGCTTGCCAGGCAGGCACTTAGACCACCGAGCTATCTCCCCAGCCCTCAAGACCCAATCTTAAAAACAATGTATATGTAAGGATTTGGAATATGTGTAAAGTCTCTGATGTTACCTGGGGAGGCTTTGCTAGGACAGTGACCCCAACCTGAGCATTCCGATGCAGCAGGCGATGTGAGGCCACACGGCGGGCGGGGGGTGCACCCGCTGCATTGAGAGTCACAAAGCCTCCAGGGACAGGGAACCGTGTGGAGGTCTGGACCTTATTTCCGGGGCTGGCCCACTCAGCACAGCTTGGTTCTCTGTATGGTCCAGGCTTGGGCCAGGAGGGACAGGACTAGGGGAGCAGGCCCAGCCAGCCCTCCCTGGTGGGGCTCACCACGCAGTCTGCGTTCTGCGTCAGCCGCTTGAGCGTAAGGAGGGAGTTGTAGGGCTGCACCACCACGTCGCTCATCTCGTCCTGGCTGGGGAACACCGAGTACGTCTGCACCAGCTTCTTGGGGTACCTGGGGGTGAGGAGGAAGAACGGGGGAGCAGTACATAGTGACTGGATGGATGCCGGTCTCTCTTCTCTAGGGACAGCAGGGACCCATCCTTCCCAAGGGCCCCAAGCTCTGTCCACAGGGATAAAGGAAGAAGGGAGTGGGGACAGTCAGCATCCAAGGACCTCCCCCTTCCCCATGGCCTCCCACTCCTCAGATGCACCCCACTGAGTGTGTCCCTGCTGCTCCAGGGATAGGGGCAGCCCTTCACACTGAAGAAAAAAAGTGACAACAAGGAAAGCCATTACCTGGGAACCTCGGCTCATCCCCCACGGAGTGCTTACCTATCATTCAGCCGCTCCAGAAGGTAGGAGCCCAGGCCAGAGCCTGTGCCTCCTGCGATGGAGTGACATAACACAAAGCCCTGTGTGGTGACAGAGGCAGAGGCCGGGAGCTGGGCGCTTCGGGGTGTCTCTTAGCCCCTCCCACACCCCTCTCCAGCTTCTGGAGTCCACTCCAGACAGAGGCTCCAGGCTGGGCCAGAGCCAGGCCGAATGACTCACGTCTAAGGAGCCACCGCCGCCCAGGCTATGACCTCCTGGAGCACGAGGGGTGCACCTTCCTTACTGGCTGGGTCAGCTGAGCCTCAGACATGTCCTGCATTCACTGAATGACTGAGTTTGCTGTACAGGGACTGAGTCTGGGGCCTTTAAACCCAGGTTTTTTTGCACTAAGCTATCTCTTCAGGCCTCTCTCTCTCTCTCTCTCTCTCTCTCTCTCTCTCTCTCTCTATTTTAGTACAGGGTCTATAGGGTCTCACTACGTAGATCATACTTGTAGCCATTCACCTGTGTTCAGCCTCCCAAGAGCGGGATTACAGGCATGCGTCACCACCCTCAGTCTCAATCGCTGTCTGAGCGCGCCCTGGGAGTGGGGCTGGCACGCACGCTGGGGATGGAGCCCTGGCTGCTGCAGCTGCCTAGGCAGGTGCTTGAGTCAGCTGAGCAATTTGGCCGGCCCTAGGCCTTTCTTTCTTTCCCTTAATTTTTTTCTTTTTACTTTGAGATAGGGTCTTGCTAAATCACTACATCGTTGCCCAGGCTGGGCTCAAACTTGGAATCCTCCTGTCTCAGCCTCCCAGGATACCCGATCACAAGCCTGCACCATTACGTCTAGCTCTTCAATCACCAATTCGGACCTCCGCGGCTCTTCAGCCTCTCTTCCCAGACACCGAAGGGAGAGCACCTCACCTCCAGACTGTCACTCCCGTCTGCCTCTCGGTCTATGATGTCAAAGATGTCCTCATGGATCTTTTCCCCCTGTACGGAGACGGGAGGGAGGTGAGGTGGACGGCTCTCTCCGAAGGGCTCCGCTGTTGCCCTGAAGTGACCCTGGTGCAGCGGGCCACCCAGAACCGCCTGCTCGTGCGGGCCTGCGGGGCCCTGCCGACCCGGCCCGTGTCCCTCGGCTCGGCATGCACTGGGCATGCACAGTCCCTCGGGGCAGGCCGAGCTTCCGGGCGCCACGGACACCTGCGAGAAGCCCCGGGCCCAGTTGTTGCCCGCGCCGCCGCCGTGCTCCGACAGGTAGATGTTCTCCGGGTTGTAGAGCTTGGCGTAGGCGGAGTTCAGGATGGAGTGGATCACGCGCGGCTCCAGGTCCAGCAGCACGGCCCGCGGGATGTAGTGCTCGTCGTCCGCCTGCCGGGAGCCCAGGGGCGGTCACTCGGGGCGGCCACCGGCACCAAGGCGCGGCCGTCCCCAGGGCCCACGGCACCTGGTAGAAGAAGACGTCCTTGCGGTCGGTGCCCTCGGTGGCGAACTCCTCCACGATGCCCTCGGGGCTGATGCCATGCTCGGCGCACAGCTGCTTCCAGAACTC